GAGTTTGACTTTAACTTGTAAATTTTTCTCAAAAATTTCAACAAGTGTTTTAACCACTATCCTTTATCATAACCTCGGCTTAATTTCAACTTGTAAATTTTTCTCAAAATTTCAACAAGTGTTAAACCATCTTCCTTTCAATACGACCTCAGTTTAACTATAACTTGTAAATTCACACAGAATTTCAACAAGTGTTTAAACCAATCTTCTTCCGATACGACCTCGGTTTAACTTTAACTTGCAAATTCACACAGAATTTTAACAAGTGTTAAATATCACATCGGTTTAACTTCAACTTGTAAAACAGAATTTTAACAAGTGTTAAATATCATCTCGGTTTAACCAACTTGTAAATTCACACAGAATTTCAACAATTGTTAAATATCATCTCGGTTTAGCTTCGACTTGTAAATTCACACAGAATTTCAACAAGTGTTAAATATCATCTCGGTTTAGCTTCAACTTGTAAATTCACACAGAATTTCAACAAGTATTAAATATCATCTCAGTTTAACCAACTTGTATATTGCTACAAATTTCAACAAGTGGTAAACATCATATCGGTTTAACTAACTTGTAAATTGCTATAAATTTCAACAAGTAACAAACATCATATCAGTTTAACCAACTTGTAAATTGCTACAAATTTCAACAAGTGGTAAACATCATATCGATTTAACCAACTTGTAAATTGCGGCAAATTTTAACAAGTGGTAAATATCATATCGGTTTAACCAACTTGTAAATTACTACAAATTTTAACAAGTGGTAAACATATTCTTCTTCTTTCTGCCCCCTGCATGGCTTCCACATACTCCTTTGTGAACCTTATAAAAGGTCTTCAACCTGGCTAACTGCAGTCCAACCTCGTGTGTTTTCTTTTTTTATCTTCTGGGATCTGAGATCTGCTCACTGAGCTCTTCTCTTCTCGGACTTAAATGCCGAGATCTTGTCTGCTAGAATCTTGGATCTGCTTACTCAAGTTGAGCTCTTCTCTTCTCTTCTCGGACCTACTCATCTAGGTCGAGATCATGTCTTCTAGGATCCGGGATCCGGGATACAGGTTCTGGAATCCGGGATCTGCTCACTTAGGATGAGTTCTTCTATACTTGAATGTTATCTCCTTGGGAGCGCTCATGTCCCCTGTCTTTGCATCCCTTCTGGAAGTGTCTTCGTTCCTCCGCAAGTATCTATCCTTCTATACCTGGAGGTCATCTTTGTTGTAGTATCCGCTTCGATCTGTTGTCTTTGGTGCGTCACCTTCCTGGCCGGCGTCTTTCACTCCATGACTCTGGTCACGAGTTTCTGTGTTGCGGTTGTCCCCTTCAACGTCGAGGTTGATAGATCTCTCATTTCCAGCAGGAACGTTGTCTCTAGTCTGATCCTTCTGTCCGTCTTTGTATGCTTTTAATCCGGCCGACGTGCCATTTTTGTAGTCTGAATAATTTATTTTTCAGTATTCAAGCTGAAGTGCCTTCTTTCTTCTTTAAATGCATTTCTCTAATTTCTTCTTTGAATGAATGTCTTCTTTTTTTCATTGGCCATCTATTCTTCTTTCTTTCCCACAGACGGCGCCGAATTGTGTGAGTGATTTCCTGACTACACTGCCCGCTTAGTAACCAGCTGGAGAGCACCGGCAGAATAGATGGCACCTGGCTGACCTACAATAGAAAGAGAAGATTCCGGCGGTGGTTCGTCCACCCGGGGGCACTCCGACGATCAAGTCAGTATATCTCTCAAAGATAAATCAAGTGCTAAAAACTCACAAGCTTGAGTATCAAAAGCATATCTTAGACCCATGGGGGTGCCTCTCTTTTATAGCCAACATAAACCTAGTCCCAATAGAAGCCTAACTTCTATAGACTCAGGATTACTGCTAATCTTGGACTCCTAGTAAGATTAAGATAAACTCTCTAAGAGTCTTATCTTAATACAAACTGAAGTCTCCTCTCATTCTAGGACTTTTGCACCTCATCCGCTTATCTCGGATTCCGATATCTTCGGAGGTAACCTCGGCCTATCCGAGATGACCTCGGCATAACAACCAGGACACGTGGCACCTCGGCTGACACATCGGCGTCACCTTAGCCACGTGTTGGTACTCAAAAAATATATCCCCACATTATTATTATTATTATTATTTTTGTGTCGTAAACTATTACTAGAGATTATCCTAAAAAATCTACTACACATTTCTAAAAAATAAATGACTTATTTACAACAGCTCTTTTTATTTCTTACTTTTATTTTTTGTTTGTTGTCAAGGGAGGGAGGAGGGAGGGAGGTGGTTGGGATAAGGATTAGGAAGCGACAAATTGGAGATAAAACCAAGAAGAGATGGCTTTTAATGGAGACAGTTAAGCTGAGTGAGAGAGTGATTAAGCGAGACAACTCAGAGATACACATCATTTGTGTTGCGGTGGCCCTTACGTTACACGTACTCATGCAGTGGTGTTGCTCTTGCTTTTAATTTCATTTTCCATCACTTTGTTTTTTTGATTTCTGATAATAATAGTAATAATAATATAAACCCACAAAAATAAAAATAAAGAAGCTAAAAACTTTTGAAATCCCAAGCTAAGTGAGGTTTGGTGGTGGAGATGGTGGTGGTGTTGTGCCATTGTGCATGTAGCAGTACGTGGTGAAGCCTTGTGAGAGACCATTTTGTTTTGAGGCGGAGGAGGGAGGGGGTTAGTTTTGATGAGTGATGAGGTTGTTTTTGTTTTTATGTTCTTTAGGTGATGACATAAGGTCAATGGTACATGTAGGACGAGATCTCCACCACAAGTTTTGTCAACAAACATTATTGTCGACTTGGGGAGAGCTTCAATTTCCTTGCTACCATTTTCTTTCAATTCACTTTATTTTTATATAAAAAATAATAATTATTAGCAGGTGGTGAAGATGCTAGAAGTAGGGTGACAAATGCAGTTGGAGGTGGTGGCTGCGGCTAGTGTTGGAAACAGAACGGAGTGAATAGAAGAAGGTGGCGGCGGATGGTGAAAAGTGAACGGAGTCAAGGAGTCAACAAATTTATTTTTTTTTGACCGATAATAATAAATAAATAACTAAATAAAAAGAAGATAGTGGCAAATGGTGTAATATTCGTCGCAATTTAAAATGCATTGTTATTAGTTTCGTATATATCCTACGAGTGTCTTTTATTAAGTATAACTTATATAATTAAAGAAAAAAGTGACTCTCATATGATCCGGCGTGACTCACATAGTTAAAATATAAAAATGACTCTCTCATATTATTAGGTATGATTCACATATAGTTAAAAATAAAAATAACTCTCAGAGTCGTAATCTACGTAGTTAAAGATAGATATCACTCTAAGGTTAAGTTTGACAACTCTTAAAAAATTTAAAAAGACAAAAAGTCACTATCCTATTTAAATCACATTATCTTATTTAAGTCATATCATTTTTTTAACACATCACTTTAAACTCAACCCAAACTCAACCCATATTTAATAAAAAATCAAAAAATATACTTATTTAGATCATCTCATGCAACCCTTAAAAGTAAAAATTATATTATCTCCGTTCCAAGTAGCTTTCACTAGGTGTGGCCCACATATCCTATTTAAATCACATTATCTTATTTAAGTCATATCATTTTTTTAACACATCACTTTAAACTCAACCCAAACTCAACCCATATTTAATAAAAAATCAAAAAATATACTTATTTAGATCATCTCATGCAACCCTTAAAAGTAAAAAGGGAAAAGTTAGGGATCATGAAAATTTTGTCATGAAAATGATCATGAAAAATTTATGATCCTTGGATTACCTTGATTAGTGTGTGGTGTTTTATTCTAAGTGTAATCCAAGGGTCACAAAACTTTCATGATTATTTTCATGACAAAATTTTCATGATACCTAGCATTACTGAAGTAAAAATTATATTATCTCCATTCCAAGTAGCTTTCACTAGGTGTGGCCCACATAGTTGAAGGTAAGTCCCACTCTGGTAAAAACTGTAACGTCTCCATTCTGAATTAAAATAATATTGTTTTCTTTAGGCTATGTTTTCGTGACTTGAGAACGTGTTGTTACTTAAAAAACAGGATGTAGAGTCACTCATATAGTCTATAAACTTTTCTTGCCTAAGTGATATGGTTTGAGATTTTACATTTACCTCTTCTCAAAACCAGACATCATCCTGCCACGCATATTTTTCATAATCCTTTCTAAACTTATAAATTCCATTATCTCATAACTTACTTTGATCTTTCTCTTATCTTGTCTAACAATAAAAAAATATATCCACATAGAAATAATAGGCTTGCTCGTATTTAACTAGTAATGTTTTATTTGTTTTAACGATTTTTTTATTTTTTTATTTTTATTTTTATTTTTTTTGCATTTAATATGGCAAACGATGAAAAATCAAGAAAAATACTTTATATGGTCAGTCAAAAAATCAATTAATGTGGGTATTTTTAAATTTTTTAAAAGACTATCTTTTAGACTTGACAAGATCAATTATATTATTTTATCAAAATTATAATCATTATTATCATTTCACCATCCCTGCCAGTACTATTGTTACTAACACCATCATACCACTAAACATCACCACACTTAAGTGGTTGGGGGCATTCATTCTTATTGCCATCACTTAAACAAATAAATAGTAGTATTTTATGTATCAATCAGTATACTAGATAATATATCAACACTAATTATAACTTTATTATTAATCTCACTCACTATACAAATCACAAATACTATAAATCTTTTAAATTATGTCATATCATCAATTAATATACTAGTTAGTACACTAATTTATACATATAGCATTCTTCATAAATAAATAAATAAAAGTTTGTCTTAAATCCCCTTAAAATTAAGGTAAAAAGGCAGCCATTTGTCTAGATTTTTAGAACCCGGGTCCATATGGACCATACTGAATTTTGAATTCGGGTTTTCCAATTGTTTATTAAGTGTGGCTTTTGAACAATTTTCAAAACTAGCCGTTAGCATTAGGTGTCTCCCACCGCCTTCAACGCGCTCTTTATTGTCTCTCCTCTGAACAAAGCTCAACACAAGCTCTCTCTCCCTCTCTCTCTCCCCCCTCCGCAAAACCCTGTAAAGATGTTCACCGAGGGTCTAGACCAAAGCGCAATCAATTGGATCAAACAGGTATTAGAACCCTTAACAGCATTCAATTTCGAAATTCTTGATCATATATACACATTTATAGCATGTCTTTCACAGTTCTTGAACACACCCACACACCTATATATATGTAGATAGATAGATAGATAGATAGATGTTCTGTTTCAGAAGGGTTTTCAATCTTGAATTCAATTGGGAAATTTCACCTGTAGGGATCGGAGATTGAACAACACCATGCTCGATCGCCATTAACAGAAAATTTTGATCATGAATTCATCGCACCCAGATCTCCTTTGTCTTTCAATAGCAGTACTTACATGTCTCCCCATGTTTTGCCTCCCCTGAAATTCCATTCTGGCTTGCTTGGACCTCATAACACAGTCACTCTTAGTCTGGATAGCAATGATGCAGACGATGATGATGGTGATGATGATGAAAGTGTGGCCTCGGTTCCAAATGATCCGGGTGGGCATTACTCCGAGGAAGAGGGTTTGAGATATAGTGATGTTGAATCTCTGGAAAAGTCTGTTGAGAAGTCTTATGACAATGACATGTTTGGTTCAAAATTGAACAGAAATTTGAATCAAAGTACAGTTTCTGGATTGGAGGGTGGACAAGGGTCTACTCTGAATAAAGGGTTGTTGATGGAGGATCTTCGGATTGAAGTGCCGGAAAATTATAGAAGATTTACGGATGGTGTATTAGGTTTTGGAATGCGTGGTGCACACCTAAACACTGAATCAGGTGGAAGCTGTCGATTGCATGAAAGAGTTCAATTACACAATGCATATGTAAGATTTGATTTCATTCCCCAATAAACTATATATTCAGAAGGGTTTTTGGATTGGATTCTAATTGATTTGGTTGGACTTTGTAGAAAGGGTTTTTTGGATTGGAGTCTAATTGATTTGGTTGTAATTGCAGGGTACTCCCATTAGTAATGATATGCGAAATGATGTGACAGACTTGGGGACTCCTAGTGCACCTCCAATTATAGATATTGGAAGAGAAGGAAACAAATCTGGAGCTGAAAATGAACTAAGAGAAGATTCTGAAGGTTTGACTGAAATGGAGAGGAGTTTTGATGCGATACACTTGTCTAAAGAATCAGAAGATGGTTTTCAAGGTGATAAAGAGGCATGTTCTGATTGGAGAGTACAATCTCAAAAAAATGAACATGTTGAAAGGTATGGTAAATCTTCAGTCCATGTGCCATTGTGCATTAAAACTTTGCCTTGAGTTGTTTTCCACATAAAAATTGCAGTATGTTTTGAAAGTTTCTCTTGTACAGGGAAAACAAAACAGTAGCTGGAGAAAAGGAAGCACCGGCCCCTTATTGGCAAACAAATTCATTTGATAATTCACCCTATTATGACGCCAGGTATGATCCATTTTTTTGGCCTTTTTGTTTATCCTTGGTGTTCACTTTAGTTGGAGTTTTTATTGTTTAACTGCAACAGTCAGACTTGTCTTAGTCACTGCCAAAGTAATCACATTTTTTTTTTGTACCAAATTGTGCATCAACGTTACTGTAAATAACTATGATCATATGACTCTTGAGGATATGTAAATAGACTAGAAAGCAATTTGTATTATGGCTTTGATACAATTGTTGAACTCAGGGTTGTTTCACTCTATATGGGTTTTAGTACTTGCCCCTCTAAGTAGTAAGTCCTCACTGAATTTCGAGGATCAATTTAGCAGAGGGCTGCTTGCTAATTGTTGAGTTAAGCTGTGCTGAATCACTTCCTTTACACACAGTCATTTACCATTCTGATATCTAAACAGCTTGCTTGATATACACATGTGATCATTTTCCCATTCTGAAATCTGAAATTGCTCTTCTTCTGGCAGTGGTCAAAATGCATGGCAAACTCTAATTGCCTATGATGCATGCATTCGCCTTTGCCTAAATGCCTGGGCAAGAGGCTGCACAGAGGCACCTGAATTCCTACGCGATGAGTGCCTGGTTCTCCGAAGTGCATTTGGGTAAGTTGCCTTCTGCTAGTGTGTGCAGTCAATTATCAGCATTTCTTATTGGTGGTCGTCTTTTCAGTTTGAATGCTAGTTCTCAAATCTAATTAGTGATCTCTCCTTGTTATCTTGTTAAATAGGCTACATAAACTTTTATTGCAACCTCGAGGTGTTCAATCAATGCAAAGGAAGGGTACTTCAAGTACAGAACAAGCAGGCTCTTTGAAAGTAAAGAAAGTAGTTGGAAAGATTAGAGTGGAAGGTATGCTTGTAACTAGATGGGGGTTCTAAAGTTCAGTTTACTCTTTACACATATACTTCAGGTCATATGGAATGGGGTCTTTGACATGTCCATTCAAATGGGCTTCTGGCCATTGTCTATTGTGTTGTATTTGTATCTAGATTGCAAGCACCAGATTTCTTTGTATTATTTAGTTGCATTTGTTTGCAGCTGCAAGGTAATTTTGATGATTTCAAATTTTCATCTGTCAAATATGAAGGTTTGTGGAGACAAGGTGGTTGTGTTGTGATAATAATGCAGACCTATTAGTTCTCATACTTCTATTGACATTGATAATAAAAAACAATCTGATCTTCTTTTGGACCTTCCTGTTAACTGGATTTGTAACCTAAAATTATGAAATAATTGCTTGGCAGTGAGAAAGCTTCGCATAATACCGAGACGGAAACTTAAGAGCACATACTCACTGAGAAGTGCGATGTATATGCAAGTGGGAGCAGAATATGTCCGACATGTTTCATCACTTGTGAAAACCAGCATCAATTCTCTTAAAATTGCCTCATTGTCGGTGACATCTGAAGGTGTGCTGTTCTTGACACATTGATCTATTTTTAATCTTTGCTTTACTTTCTTTATCTATCTAGTTTTTATCGATCACACATAGAAAATCAAGATTACTTTAAAAAGGATTAAATAATCATGACTAGTTTAGGAACCTAGATACCAAGAAAGATAGTATAATCAGTAAAATTTTCAAAGTAGGCCTCCATTTAAATTCCTAGACACAAACCTTTGGACATCTGAGGACAATAGGAGAAGAGAAATGTCTGTAGGCGGTATTTGAAGGCTATTCCCACTTCACATGCATTCTTCTCTTCTCATTTACACATTTGATTTTTAACTGTGTGTATTGAGTATTGGTTTCCCATCTGTATTGATTCAGTTAGATGATTAGAAATTCCTGTCATGTTTGCAGAGCGGCTGTCATGCCTATTTCACCTGAAGAGTTCTACAGAAGATACTCAAGATGAACAAGGTTCTGCTATTTGCTTGCGGCCTGGAACTGGCGATTATCATGTGTTGTAAGTATCTTATTTATGGATGGTGGTTCTTCTGTTTCAAAGCACTGATTTCTAAGTCAAAAAAATTCTGTGAATTCTTATTCCTAATATTATAAAGTGACTCTTTATAGTCAAAATAAAGTGAATTGTATTTTGATTTGTTTTATTATTGTAAAAGCTCCTAATTTAGTAGAAAAAATTGTCTGAATGATGGACTAAAAGGAAGATGGAATCCACATTGTAGTAGTAGAAACTAGTTATGAGTACGATCTTTTGTATTCGGTTGTATTTTATGAAAGGATTACAGGTTGGTCAGTGTCATGTTTACCAAAGAGTTAGAAGGCACTCAAGTTGAACCATGTTGGCTAGTTGTTAGCAGCTTGAATTGTGGTGATTTTGATGGTCTTTGACCTTAAGATGTACTAGGCATACTCGTATAATGTTTGCTAGTGAACCCTTGACATTGCATGTGTTCAATGATACTCGGTTATGTTTACCATTAACATTAAAAAAAATCTCACTATGTGCATGAATTTCAGTTTTCCAGAGAACCAAGGTGATGCTCTTTTACTCGAAGTCCAGGATACCAAGAAAACTATCCATGGTCGAGCAATAATTCCAATTGCATCATTGACTGAAAATCCTGTATGTACCATCTATTTATATTCTGATAATGGAGCTTTTTTTAATTTGATTTGGCAAGTTACATGATCTGGTAATCCACACCATGCAGAATGATAGAATTCGGTGGTGGCAAATTTACCATGATGATCACGAATGTGTTGGAAAGGTCCAGCTCTCCATTGGTAGCACAATTACATCCAACGAGACTGCCCACATCAAGGTATAATTTTATCTCAATACAGCAAAGCCATATAGTTGGGTGTCAAAATTTTCCTTTTGCTGAAAAAATAACTCCCTCAGTGAGGAATAACTCACTTGACTTAAAGATACTGGCTAATGTTTAGAATGTTAAATCGTTTCATTTTGCAAAAATCACATAGTTATATAGTTGTTTTAGTAATAAAAAAAATTGTATGTGATATCACATATAATGATGTATATAAATCTCCTGTACTCATGGACTGGAGTGAGTCATTTATTTCTTGTTTGATTCTAAACATACGACAGAGTGGACCTATTGTGGAAACGCTTGCATATGATCTGTTGCTGGAAGCTGCCATGCGTTCACAGCACTTTCATGAGCGAAATTTAAGGCTAGATGGACCTTGGAAATGGCTGCTTAGCGAGTTTGCCGACTACTATGGAGTATCAGATTCATACACTAAGCTAAGGTACTTAAAGATCAACACTAAGTTAAATAATATTTGGCTTATACATTCCTGGTTCAGGCGTCCCTTGCAAAATTTTCACTCAACTTTTAAACTTCTACAGATATCTTTCATATGTCATGAATGTGGCAACTCCTACAAAAGATTGCTTAGAGCTTGTGTATGAGTTGCTTGTGCCTGTTATAAAAGCCAGGACTGAGAAAAGCTTAACTAGACAAGAGGTAAGCCTTTCCAAACCATGTCCATTATGTTTGTAATCACTTGGATGATACTTTGCACTTGTCACTAAGTTTCCTAGGAGCAAAAAAATATATGACGGAAAAGTTAAGTCTCTCAAAATGACCAGTTGCATGTGTTGCTCATACCTGGGGCTCTTCGGAAGTAGCTAAATAAAAAGAGGAAATTGTGTAGTTTTAATTAAAACAGGAAAAATGTGCAAACAGATACGGGAGTACCTGAGGATTGTCCTCACCAAGTTGTGCTCCAATAGTGTCATCAAATAAGTACCAGTCCGGATATGTTAAAATCCACCTACTCTCCACCTACTTACACCCACTTAAACCTACTCCACTAAACCTAACCCACTACACCACTACCACCTCCACTTCACCTACTCCTTACCTACTACACACTCACCCTCTTCTATATATAGGAATCATGAATCATTGTAATAGCAATCAACAATACATCAATAATAATACATACAATTTATTCTCTCTCTTTCTCTATACATTATTTCTTACAGGATATGACAGTACTCTACTGTGTTTATTGATTTATTTTTGTGTGCATGCGTGTGTTCATTCCTGAGCTGATTACCTGAGTAGGGCCTTTCAATTTCAAGGATTTAGACCTAGCAGGCTAGTTACAAACATTTTGATAATTGTGCCTAAAATCCTTTAAATGCATACTAGTTTGGTATCCTTTGTACACTATCCCATGTCAGCCCTTGTTATTGGAAGACGCATATTGATGCTGTTCAGGGCAACAAAGACATGGTTTTGACACATCCAACATGTGTGGTTGGTTGTGTAAGGAGTGCTGGAGAAGTGTCAATGTCCAATGAGGATAGTTGTCTCTTGAGAATACCACAAGATTATTTAATAATTCTCCTAATATAAGCTAGAGGAACCATAGTACTACTACAATTTTGGTTAGTGACTTTGCTGTGATGTTTTATGGTGTTTCCTTCTTGGAAGGTTTTTCTGCACAACATTTTGTATGACTTGTTTCTTACTCATGAACATAACATAGTTGTTTAACTACTTGTCCTGCAGAAAAGCATATTGTTGGACTGTGAAACCCAAGTTGAGAGTCTCTTGGCAACTGTCTTTGAGAACTACAAATCGTTGGATGAAAACTCTCCATCAGGTTTAACAGACATATTTGGTTCAATACCAGAGGTCGCTGCACCGGCTTTAGCACCTTCAGTGCAAGTATACACTCTTCTTCATGATATACTTATTCAAGATGCACAGACAGTGTTGAGAAACTATCTACAGGTGAGCTACATTTACCAAACCAACAAACATACCGTATGAACATGAGGTCCACATACTCTACCTTCCGCTGAAGAACATGTAGACTCAAATCATGCTATCTTTTTTCACTTGTCTGTGCAACTAGATTGTCTTCTTTTTTGCAATACGTTCAATGTTTCAGTTTAAACCAAATAGCATTTGTTTGCAGACAGCAGCAGCAAAGAGGTGCCGCAAGCACATGTTGGAGACTGATGAGTTTGTGTCGAGTAACTCCGAGGGCATTCTTATGGATTCCATTACAATCTCCACAGCATATTTGAAAATGAAGAACCTTTGTATAAATATAAGCAGTGAAATTCAGGCAGATATTAAGATCCACAATCAGCATATACTCCCTAGGTAGGAAACTCTCATTCGCAATGAACTTATTGCGAAATTGGATAATATTTTTTATAGAAACTGATTTAGACAGTTTGATTGTAGATAGGCACTGATAAGAGTTGAAGTTTGTTAACTTCTCAAGCTGACAACAACAACAATTTTATGACTTATATTTTTCAGTTCAATTGACCTATCAAGCATCACAGCCGCGGTTTACAGCATCGAGTTGTGCAACAGGCTTAGATGTTTTCTCGCTGCATGGCCTCCATCTAGCCCCCTGTCACATGTAAATGAACTTCTGATAGCAACTGCTGATTTTGAAAGGAGTCTCGAATTGTGGAATATCAGGTTTGAAAATTTTTAGCAGCCTACCTATTTCCAATGTAGAAGTTGAAGCTTTCTTTCTCATACTATAACTTTTGTATCCTACAGTGCAGTGCAAGGTGGTGTGGACTCGAGAAATTTGTATCACAATTACATAATGGTTTGGGTACAGGATATGCAACTTACCTTACTCGAGCTTTGCAAGGCAGAGAAGGTACCTTCCTTTTAAGCTTTTCACATCCAAGCATCATATTCAATCGAATGACTAGCATTTCTTTCAAGAATCAATCAGACACTATTTACTGAATAACTATGACGAGGAACTGCTTCTTGCAGGTGCCATGGTCTGGGGTACTTACAAATCATTCTACCTCACCATTTGCTGAGGAAATGTATGAGAAGATCAAAGAAATGCTTATCGAGTATGAAGTTGTCATGAATAGATGGCCTCAATATTCATTGGTTTTGGAGAATGTGAGTTCTAAATTTTACCCAACAGTTACCACGAGCCACAAGTACTGTTATTTACTAACTCTAATAATTTTCCTAAATGTGAATTGCTGATTTTCTTAAGGCTGTCGCAAATGTGGAAAGAGCAATCATAAAAGCAATGGAAAAGCAATACAGTGATATCTTGACTCCATTGAAAGATAGCATTCCAAAAAGGCTTGGTATGCAAGTTCATAAACTAACAGGAAGACAATCAACTGCTCTTTACTCTGTTCCTAGTCAAGTAAGTTCCGAAACTGTATACTATATCCGATCAAGGTTATATCAGTAAACCGAATTAGGCAGCAGAAACGACTGTTATTACGTTTATCATGAATTCAGTCTGAAAATTTTGTCAAATTAGGACTATCAATTAAAAAGAATAGAAAATTTGGGACATTTTGTGTCTTAAATATTCAAGCTGAGCAAAAAAATTCTTTCAAAAAAAAAAAAAAAAAAGTTCAATAAAGAAGTCTTCAACCAAAGAATTCTCCTCCTAGCACACTTACAAAAGGTGCATCTGTCTTACTGGATTTTCTTGTCCGTCCTTGGCAGTTGGGAACTTTTTTGAACACCATCAAGAGGATTCTTGATGTTTTACACTGCAAGGTTGAGGACATTTTGAAGTCTTGGGCATCCTATCTACCTGTCATTGAAGATAAGAAGTCGCTTTTTGGAGAGCAGATGAACGGAATAACTGTCCTGTTGAGAACAAAATACAAAAATTACATGCAGGCAACAGTAGTGAAGCTCGTCAACAATGTAAGCACTACCATCCCTCTGAGACTTTTTCTCTGGTTTAACAGCATGTGGCAACCATGATGTTCAACTTCAGGTCATAATCCTGCAAGCCACCACTTAAAAAGGAAAAGATAAAATTAACTTGGATGAGGGGAAATTATTTTTTGGAAACTTTATACTAAAATTCAACTTGCTTCATAAATTCAAGGTAAAGAATTGGAAAGTAATATGAATATTAACTTAAAATGAAAAGATAAAATTAACTTTGATGAGGGTAGATTAGTTTTTGGAAACTTCATACTAAAATTCTATTTGCTTCATAAATTCAAGGTAAATAATTGGGAAGTATATGAATTATATGAATACGAGCTGAAGTACCTGATAGGTATACTCTATAATAGTGAAAAAATTGAAAGTTCAAGGAATAATTGGAATCAACTGAATCTAGCAATAAAAGTCTAAACCTATAATCGAACAGCATAAATTTTAACCTGAATAAAATCCTAGAAACAAATACAAACTCTGAGTCCATATATGTATCTATCATTGTGTGTATGGTACTTGTTTCAGATGCAAGATAATAGGAACACACGGCTCAAAAGGATTCTAGAGGAAACAAAGGAAGCAGATGGAGAGGCTGAGGTCCGTGAAAGAATGCAAATGCTAAGTTCACAACTCATCGATTCCATATCTAACTTGCACGAGGTCTTTACAAGTCGGATATTCATTGCAACCTGTCGTGGGTTTTGGGATAGAATGGGGCAGGTAAAGAAAATATACTACAACATATTTTCCATTTGTATATGGTTGTGCTTACTTCTGATGCATTGTTCATTTTTACCAGATCGTGTTGAAATTTCTGGAGGGCAGAAAAGAAAATCGAGTCTGGTACAATGGCTCTTATTATGCTCTTGGGGTAAGTAGGATCTTTTAACAGCCAAGTCATTTGATTATACATCTTAAATTTATGGGGGGAAAATAATAAATTTATTCCCTTTCCCTTTTGCCTTGTAGATTTTGGATGACACTTTTGCTTCCCAGATGCAGCGATTGCAAGGAAATGCCCTCCAGGAGAAAGATCTTGAGCCCCCTCGATCAATTATAGAAGCTCGATCCATACTTAGTAGAGATGCAACAAATGCAACAGATACATCTACTTACTTATATTTCTAGGATTAATCATTCTTGCTTTTCTGTTGTAATAGCTAAATTAGTATCCATACTTACTGTATATTTGCAACACAGATGTGCCAAATAAGTTCAGTGTAGTTTTGTTTGTAATCTTTTATATATCATTCTTTATGTAATCTACCGATTCTTTCTGTTTTGTATTCTTCAATATCAATAAAAGCTATCAAATTTCCAGTAAGGGGTTTTTCATTCATGAGTTATATGTCAAACCATCCCTTAATTCCTACTTGTCTGCAACAAGAAAGCATTTCAATAGCTAGCAAGTCTGTAGAGTTTACCACTAGTGTTGTAACACACTACCAATAAGAGCAATAATCAAAACTCTGACATTTCCACCACCTTATCACAACCACATAATATTTCCAAACAAGTTGAGACCTATCATCACTGAGAAACTACAAAATGTCTAGATACACCCTAAGCGCATACAACAGAGCAGAGCAGAGTGAACGAAAGAAAGACCAAGTCATTGCATTGAAAGTGGCCATCAAAACTGGCGGGTCCACTTTCCATGTGTCTGTATACTAACCTTGGTGATTCTGATTAAGATAAACATATGTTATTTAAACAAAGAAAACCACAAAAAATAACACTCTGGATGGATGTAGCCATCTCTAGAATCGCCAAGCATCAGACTTCATATTTGGTGTCCACCCTTCGTACTTCTCACGTTCCTTTCCCTTGTTGGATTTGCTGAAGAAGACTTGCTGCCAGCTGTAGCGTTGCTTGCAGGCGTTTCTGGGGATCTGCATCTTCTGCTTGCACTCCAGAACTGTGCAGTTGTTGATTCCCTTGAGCATCTGTCTGAAACTCCCTTTGAGGCACCGCAGGCGCATTTGATCCCTGCTGCTGAGGCTGCAGTTGACCAAACTGAGATGCCAAAAGCTCAGAATGTACCTGGTTCTGTAAACCATATTGCGCTGGTGTCCTGTACAAGTTTTCAGAATGATTCACGGTGCTCGGCTCCCTAAAATCTTCCCCTATAGATGAAGCGGGACCACTCCCCGGATGCCTTGGTTGCCCAAGAAGGAATGATGCCAGTTGCGCGAGTTTTTCAGGTTGAAGCACTGCAATGGGCATGGATGAAGAAACTTGAGGCTTCGCTTCTATTGGGATACCTGAAATTCCAGTGGTGTAACTAGGTTCTTGCACAACCCTTGGCATGACCGCATTACGTCCCTGAAAAGCAGGATCAACAGTGGTATTTGATGTTTGTGATGCTACATTACCAGCACCAGAATTTGAGTTCTGCAGATTTTGAGGTGACCAGTTTGGTACAAATGTTGGGATTTGCTGATGAAGCATATAATCATGCCTGTTCTCATTAGCATGAGCAGAGCCTGACAAAGATGCAGGTGAAGCTGCTGTAGACAAATTCCCCAGAAAAGATAAATTACTGACCCCAGATTTTCCCATATTTGGAAAAGGCGGTAATGGGGTAAAAGGTCCTGACGGTGTATCCCCATGGTAAGGCATGAAATTAGTATCTATTTTTTCATTTGGATGTTGAAGAGAAGACCTCAAATTGGAACCAGAAGGTTCTAACCTTAAAATAACACCAGAAATACTCAATTTCCCCGGGACCTTGAGTACTTTCTCCGAGAATTCTGAAGGGGGTACAAGAAACAAGGTGGTCCTTTCATCCAATTTAACCACTGCTGCTCGCTGTTTCTCCTCCAGATAATGCATGAATTCATTGTAGAATCCAATATCACCATCACTCCCTGGAACAAAGAACACCACCCAGGCACTAGCTGCTTGATGGTAATGCTTTGCAAGCATGTCTAAGCCAGTCCTTGCTGTGTAATCTAAGAATTCAGGCCTGCAGCATTAGAATGTATTTAAAAATTTCACTATCCAAGTTCTCATGTGCACATGAATTCAGGTGTCAAAAGATACTGAATTTATTGTCTCCTGTTTCACAGACATGAAAAAGGTCTGATTTGTTTCTCATGGTAATTGAAAATAGCCAATTTTAGTTTACATAAAGTGAGTTCACAGACTAAAAGGATCTGTCATGATCGCAGGGTTCCATTCTCATAGGACGACTAACAGTAGGTACTCTAAAAATGAGAGAGAAGACATCTAAAAGACTGAAACAAATGATAAAAAAAACACTTTCATGAGAAGATTTAAAGGTTTAACTAATATCTTAGGTTTCATGTATGGTTAAAAGCAGGCAAGAGGGAATCAAATAATTAGCGTACCTCAAATCTGAAAGAGAAAATCCAATAACCGTCAGTAAATTATATAATCTATTTGGCACTAATCATGTCAACTACTCCAGAAATCTCACATTACCAAAGACGAGTTTATCACTTACAACATCATGTCCAGTACTTTTCCCACAGGAAAGCAGCGAGCCCGACAGATGGGAGTTCCTCCCTTTGCTATAGTCCCTTCCCATTTCCACTCTTCAGTCAAAGAAGACTGATGTGATTCGGGAGTTAATCTTTTCCACTCAACAGGGTTTGGGGGAGGCAAACCATAACCATCTGGGAAGCTATCATAAGATGCATTCCAGTGTTCACTCCTTTCTCCGTACGGTTGGGTTAAATTCATAGGGCGGTCATCAATTTGATTATACCCAAAAGGTTTAGACTCAAAATTTTTATCAGGGGCCTCGGGTTGAGGAAGATCATGGAACATCCTAGGGAAACCATGTTTTGCTTGGTCCGAACTGGAGAAATGATATTCTGGAAGCTCGTTCTCTGAAGGAAAAGAGCCAATTTTTAGTTTCTTAGCTCCATGAAAGAGCAAGGGCTCTTCTGGCAAGTCCCAAGAATCATCATAGAATGGACCTTTTTGAGGAAATTGCTGAGAAGAAAAATCATGGAAATGATCACCTTGATCTCTTGTAGGACTACCACAGCGTTCATACATATTTTCTGGTAATCCTAGTTCACGCCCCGGTTCTTGGAACCTCCTCTGTTCAAATGCACCACCCATACCTTCCCATAAATTACCCTTCTGGCTTAAACTCATGACATCAAGATCCCGAGACTCCAGATTTGGCACAAAACGAGATCTCATGTCTGGATCTTCGGTGAAGCTCCCAAAATTTCTATCCTGTCGAAAGTTCTCAGATGATCCCATGCGTCCATATGACTTGAAATGTGGGGAAGGAGGGGAATTCATTGAGTTCCTTCCACTGTTGGATGAGCTAGATTCACTCTTTGCAAAGCATATGTGCACACGAGGATTACCAAATAATTTCCCCTGGAGAGTTTGTTTGGCCCTGCAGGCTGCCACTACATTTTTGAAGCGAACAAAGGCATAACTACGACCTGGAAATGCAGTAACCTTCACAATCTCACCAAATGGTGAAAAAGCCTTCCTTAAAGTCACTTCATCTACCTTCAGCAAAGATGGAAACCCTATCCATAAGACCTCACTTGGCGGTTCTGCATTTCTATCACTTAACTTGGATTTGTTGGGACAAAGTGGATCAGGACTAGAATGACGTTTTCTAGAATCCCTGTGTGAGAATGAAGATCCTCTTACTTCAGACCTTTCATCTCGTCGTTGCAAGTAACCTCCATCACGTGATGGTGTTGATGACTTATCCTGTGATGTAAAATCATATCAAGCATACAACAAATTATTTACTTTCATTGATGAACAAAAAAAACATTTAAAATTTTTTCTCTCAATGTGATATAAGGTTTTGATTCACCAAGATTAAGGGGAGTCAAAGAAGATGAGCTTACTTGTAAATTAAAGGAAGAAGAGGTACAATGTTTTGATTACATGCACAATGGAGAAAGAATAGAAACACAATGTGTTATTGAACATTGTATTCTCAAATTTTTTTCTCTTTTTTTGAACAGATTGTATTCTCATTAAAAACTTTATGAATTGTCATTAAAGCAATCTTGCAAACATCTCAAAGATAACCAATTATATTGTTTACAGACACAAAAGGAGTTATCAGATCATTAGAAGAGGATGGAACAGAACCAAAGGACATACAGGTTAAAATTCTACAGTGAACTTACCTCACAAGAAGAAAACATTCTACTAAATTTTTTCTAATTTTGGGTCATTTTTTGTTGTTAGGAGAGGGTTGGGGCGGAAATCTGTGCAGTGAATGTAATAGGATATGACACAATTTCAATGGAAAGAAACCACGTCAAAACAGAAATCTAATATAAATCATGATAGATCTAGAAAGTTTATGCCAAATAATTGGAATGATTGGTAGTCCAAAACTCAAACACAAGACATGTAGCATGACAAGCAAAGCTCAGTCTCAAACATTGCTGACAGTTGTATTAACAAACAGCATCCAGTAATAGGCACACAACTGGTCTTCAATCATAGCTCGCTTTCTCTCTGAAAGAGAGAAGGTGAATACTGCCTACACTTCAAAATTTTGGCATAGATGAGATACAATATAGCAAAGAGTGTTACAGGATTATCATGAATACAGCAGTAACACATGCATCTATGAGCAAGGAAGACAACTATTACCAATCAACTAACATGTTCAGATATAGTCCACTACACCCGAGGGAAAAGGCAAACAGGGACAAAATAGACAATATGGAATGAAATCACAAAAAATGATTTCATCACTTCCACAAGGAATTCAAGGCAATGATCTGCCATTCATCCTCCTTCCAAAGACCACAACCAAATTGCATTTGTTAAACATATTCCCCAAGCATTTAGGTTGAAAATTGAAATCACTCTTGTGCAACTGCTGGATTGATGATCCCATAACCATTCAAGAAAGACCAAAGGAAAAAGACAAAAAGAAAAAAGAGAGCATGTAGTACAGTTGCAGTTTTGCTTATTCTTACCATCAACAAAAAGTAAAACGAATTTCTTAAGGACAAGAAAATAAATCCTAGGTAAGTGTGGCAGTGCATCTGCTTCTGTTTGAACCAGTGATTATGCAACCATGATACAAATTTGGTTAAATGTTTAATGGCAAGGTAAAAGCAAATGATTAAATAGAAAAAGCATAAAGCAAAGTTGGAAGATGTAATACCTTGATAGACAAAAATGATGGAAACAAATAAGATTTCTTCTATAATAATAAGGCTTTAATAAATTGGGATGAGTAGAGTGTATTGGAACCTTTTTTGCTGAATAAACTTTGTCATCTCACAAAACAAACCTTTAAATAAAAAACTTTCGCTGTAAAATTACTCCCACAGGCTACAGCCACAATGACAGCACTAGAAAATTAATTATCCACATTAAACCACTCATTGAAGCAAATTCCCATGTACCCTGACTATGCTTGTATTATATCAGCCCCATCCACCACAAAAGTACCAATTCTGGTGCATGAATCCTAACAAGATCTAGATCTGATGCCCACAACTAGGGGTGCTTGCGATTCGGTTTTGAACGGTTTGGTTTACGGTTTGGAACCGCTTGCATATGCGCAGTTTGGGAAAAATTAAACCTGCAACCGCCTGCAGTGCGAGTTGCGGTTTGTGCGGATAGGGTTCGCAGATATGCTGGTGGTTTGCAGATTGGACCTTTTTTCTTTAAAAATTTATTTTTGGGCCTTTTTTTTTTCCCATTTTGTAAATATTTATTTTGGACCATTTTCTTTCCATTTTCTAAAATGCTCAACATTAATAATTAATGAATTAAAACTTATAAAATTAAAAATACAACTAAATCAATTTCTAATATAAGCAAATCATTCAAAATCTTTAACTTTTAAATAAAATCATAAACTAACACAAACACGTCTTTCAAAATCCTAAACTAAATCATCAAAATTATTCACTACCCAACAATATAATTAAAGCAAATCATTCAAAATCATAAACTTACCCAAAAATAATTCTTCAATAACTTTTACATTCATCCGAAATGCAATAATAAAATAACAATAAATTGTTGTCAAACTTCATCCAATTCAAACCCATTAAATAAAATAAAAACATTTGCAAACTCGCAAACTCCATCTAAGATAGGATGAATGAAATCAACGGGCTAGGTTCTTTTTTTAAAAAAAAAAAAAAAAAGTCTAAGTGCGGGCGGGTTCTTGCAGGTGCGAGTAAAACCTATAATCCGCAATAATGTCATATTTCAAACCGCATCCGCCTGCATTGTGTCTACGAAACCATTCATTTGTGTGCAGATCGGTTCGGATTGGGCAGGCTGGGCGGTTCAGATAACCCTATACCCAGCCCTACCCACAACCATCATAGGAGGTATATCTTCTTAGTTTTCATAGAAGAAAAAATCGCAAGCCCTTAATGATCAAAACACCAAGCCTTTAAAGAATACCAATATGATGCAGATTACAAAGACATTGCAACACATGGACTCAGAACTAGAATCAATGTCAATGTAGTTTATGAAAACCTTTGGACAGATTTAACAGACTCAACAAAACTCCAATGACGGTTGTAATGACAGATCTGGCATGCTTGAACTTCAACAATGTTGATGGGCTCAAAGAAATGACACTCATTAATCATCTCAGGGCAGGCATAGTTCTTGAATTATCTAAAAGCTGAATGTCTCTCTATCAACACAAACCTGTTATAATATGAACCTTAGTTCAGTATATAATATGTGTGATATCCCACATTGATAGAATATGAACCCTTAGCTCAGTATATAATGAAACAAGTAAATGTTTATACTTGATAGACCCACCTAATTTGAGTTGTTCGCCTTGTGGCTAGTATTTTGCTTGGGACATTACAGGAGTTCTAAGTTTATCAAACCATGTATCTTGTATTTCATTATTTTACACAAGATCTGATTCCAGAGTCCTTCAGTAGTGTGTGGGCGAGTCATTTTGATTATGACCAGTTGAAATATTTTCAAAATATTTAAATGTTTTTTTGAGTTTACGGGTTTTTTTCACTTTTTTGCTTCTTTTTGTTATTGCCTTTACGAAGTCTTGTTTCACATAGGAAAGATAGGACAAAGTTTTCATATCTTGATTGGATGGTTAAAATGCTACAAAATGAGATCAAAGGGTCAGATTTCAAACGGTCACTATGACAGTCGTAGAAGTAACTGTTTAGTGGCAGTTTATGACTGTTATTAATAGTTATTTTAATTCAAATTCAAAAGGTGAGACATGACTGTTATATGTAGATGATCAGGAATTCAAGAATGGGTAGAAAAAAATATTCAGGTTACTCTTCCTGTTTTCACAAGGTTTTCCAAAGGCAATCTACTACTCTTTCTCTTCTTCTTCTGGGTTCTGTTTTCTGCAGAAACAGAATTCCAGAACCTGTTCTATTTTGTGCATCACCAAAGGTATTTTGGGTCAATTTTCGCCAAGTGCAAAGGGCAGATTGATAATCACTTTTGGCTGGGCTTCATTGTATCCTAGAGACGATTTGTGATTACCCGTTGCACTATTTGTGAGGGCAAATAACGTCTCAAGGACAGCGACATTTGTAACGCGCCTGGAAGGGATATTTTCTATTATTCCTAATATTATCACCATACTTATTTCTGTAAGACCAGCATTTACCTTCTCTTCTTTCATTTTGAAGGTTATAAGATGCCACCTAAGAGAAGCAAAAGGAGTACTCATGAAACTAGCCACAAGGTCACACTAGCCAAGGGGATACCCCTGCCCCTATTCTTGCTCCAGTTGCACCAACTAGTACTCCAGCTGCACCAACTACGTCAGTGATGCCTAATGATCCAACTAACAGGCATAAACATAAGGCCAAGTATATTAACTGAAGAACTGATGGTCTCAACATGCAAGAGTCAAACACTAGTAGGTCACAAAAAACCCATAATCCAGGCCTTTCTGAGGTTGAAGTGTAGCAGGAAATTGCAGTTAACAAACTTTTCCTGGAATATTGCACATCTAAAATTCAACAATTGCTGAAACTGCCCAATAAATTGTACCGGTTTTGCTTGAACTGAGCTCACAATTAAAACTTGCACTGAGAATGGCTATAATTGCTTGACAGTTTAACAAGTATTCAAATAAGATAGCTGATACAAACAAACTACAAGAAATTTCACCATAATGGGATTGAATGATTAATTTTGCACATCACAAATTATTACTCTGTAGCTGACAATTTGAAGAAACCCGTTACAGTACAAAGGCATTTTGGTTTGCCCAAGGTACTCTACTGCAGTGGGGATTTGTCTGTGCTGAATGCTTGATAAGTGTTTTGGTGACTTGAGCATAGTTCACTGCTAAAATTTTATTAGAATGGATGTAGGAAATTAATAACGGAATTAACCATGAATAATGTCAAACTTGTTGAGTTGCTTGTCCTTAGAAGGTGTTTCAAGAAGTGCCATATTCAATTATTCTCATGTGAAGGTGGAAGATGATGCTTGAAGGACAAAAGATCCTGCTTTCCAGCTGCCCTAGATAAGAACATTCTTTTTATCATTAAAGTGGTGCTGCAGAACAGATTTTTTTGTTTACAAATGGTATTACAGAAGATATTATATGTCAAGTGATATTTGACTCTGTTACTGCAGGTAGTTTTTTGGCAATTCATGAACGAAACAATTTAAATTGTGATCTCATGTTTAGGTCTCAAAACTGTGTTTCGGAGGCTATTTTTGCCTTAGGAGGCATTGCAGTGAAGGTACAAGCATTCAACAGAGTGGCCTATAAGTTATGTCTTGTAACCGTTGGAGATTATATGCTTGATTGGACCTGCGGTGGTCCCGAACTGATCCCATTGTTTTTATCTGTTGGGGTTTCGACATTAAAAGTTGCTGAGTATTATTGTTGCTTGCTAATTTAGATTTCTTAGATATATTATTGTGAGGTTGGTTATTTAAACTTGATTAACTGGAAAATAGACATCCAAACCATGCCTACATTCGAAAATTATTTCAAACTCAATTCATTTCCCTAGTGCTCATGAAGCTAATCCTTATTCTAGCTGAGTACATGTTTCAATTGATGATCCAAATACATTCATCAAATGAAGAATCCCAAGCTACCCAACTTCAAAAACAGAATTCAACACCTTGCTTTAGCAGCTCACACACACACATTAAAAGGCTGAGGATTTTATATGCACTGAAATTTTAGTGCTAGTGACCAAATTTTCATATGTAATACACGGTACACCTAGGGCTGTGGCTATTCCATAACTAATGAAGCAATCTAACCCTAGCACATAAGTCAATATGATGTATTTGCTACACAAACCAGTATATAGGATTTGTTTTGCAGGTTTCACCCAAACACTCAAAAATATTGAATAATCACAGAATTCCACTTATCATCCAATGTAAGAATATATATTTGATCAGGCAGTTATATCACTCACCAAAAGACTATTCTGTAATTCTTGCTTCATATGAAGTCTGTAAATTCAGTAAATCATCTTCCAGTGAGAAGTTTTGAACACCCTAGATGATTAGATTTTACATGAAAACATGATAGTTCAATCCCTTACCCTAAGTTAACTGAATACTATGCTCTTGGGCCTCATCACCTAATGCCTGCCTGGTGTTTTGCATGTTTCAAATCGGTTATTTAAGGTGATTAACAGCACCCCCATGGAAAGACCAATAGCTTAAAATATCATTCCATTTTCCACAACTTAAAAATCAAATTAAATAGTAGTGGAAATATTATGCCCATTACTGAAAAAAGCTAACTTTTGACAAGATAAAAAACTGACTAAAACAGTCAACAACGAGGATAAATTTTTCATCACTAAACACAAGCATTTGCTCTAGGGAAGTGCATTTACAAACTACAAAATCTTACTAACATACCAAAAAATTGTAAATATAAAAGCCAAACTTATTACAATTAGTTTCTAGTTCTAAGATAGGATTCAAATCGATACATGTACTTCAGACTGGATGACATTCAAACTCTAGATCAAACAAATCATGTTAGTGTGAATTAAATTGGACATGGAAACCATCTAGTGATGGTCCTTTATGTCAGTCTCTGCAAATTGCTTACCCTTGGTGTACTCCATGAAGAACCACTTCTTAAGAGTTTATTTTGGGAAAGCATGATCAAATTCTAAAATTTGTTAAGTGATTATCCAAAGTAACTAAATTTCAGATATTTCAGAGGACAAATTACGTGTGGTGAGCTCCAAAACTTACTGGCAGAATCAATTTGCAATTATGTGTAAACTGGCAAGTGGGTGTTATTCACTGGTCCCAATATCTGTGATAATGCACACGCAGCAATTTTACCCATTCTCTTTATAGATTTTTAATTATTAGTTTTAAAAAGCATGTACCTTCTGATCTTAACATGTTCATCACACAATATCAAGCAATAAATTATTCAGCTTTGGCAGTTTGCGGCATGTCCTAATGCACATATTTGCTTTCAGAGACGAAAAAATTTCATTGTCTTGAGAATTGGCTTCATCACATTGAGCCCGTTTGAATGGATTGTTGCTTTGAAAAAATTAATTTGAATTGATGCGAGTGTGAGATTCCAGAATCCGTATACTTCAACATTACATGTCAAGTTTGATCAAATGTGGGTGAGAGTGCTGCAGAGCATACCAACAAGAGAAATGGCAAATCCAGAACTTCCCGTCACGATGGAGTAAAGTTTTTGGAAGCATTTTAAGCGTTTGTTTGGTTCGGTATGCTGCTGGGCAGATTTTATAGCATTACATAAGGTTTTTGTAATTAGGGAATAAAGATATTTTGATAATTTCAATAATTACTACAAAATACTCTGTTTTTAAATTTGAATCTTGCTCCTTACAGGAAGTAGGAGTCTTTTTTAAGCCTCTAAATACAGGTGCATTCTTATTGAATATGAGTTGATATTATGAAAAATTGATAATGTGTTTTGTATGAGTTTTGTTTAACCATTGAGAGGACATCTTATTCTCGGGTTATTAGCCCCCTTTTTCCGCCCCTAAACCCTAGTCTATCAAGTTCAACTCATCTCCAACCTTTTTTCCCAACTCTTCGGCTGATAAATTCACACTAAAACACCACAAATAGTTGCCTCCCAGAATAATCTTGCAACTAATTCTAAAAAAATTGTAACTAGAAACCTATGAATACTACACCCAAATTAGCCTTTCGAAAACCTTAGAAACCTTCTTCTCCCTCATAAAACCTAACTCTAGAAGCTTTCCATAAGAAAAACTCATTTCAATTGTAAGCGCCTTGGACAAAGTATCTTAAATTAATCCTATACCACAAAATTGAGGTCCTAATTTATAATTTAATATAAAGATCCTTTTAAACATTAAACCTTGCTCAAGTTCCTATTCTCAAATTACTATTCACAGTCATAGAACAGACCCCTTCTTTCAGCCCCTCAACCCTAATCTGTCAAGTTCAACTCATCTCCAACCCTCTGGCTGATAAATCCACACTAAAACACCACAACATAGTTGCATCCCAGAAAAATCTTACAACTAATTCTGGAAAATTTGTAACCAGAAACTTCTGAAAACTAAACCCAAATTAGCCTCTTAGAAACCTTCTTATCCCTCATAAAACCTAACTCTAGAAGCTTTCCATACGCAAAACTCACCACAATTCCGATCGTAAGCAGCCTTGGACCAAGTTTATTAAATTTGTCCTGCACCACAAAATTGAGGTCCTAATTTATAATTTAATATAGTGATCCTTTGAAACATGAAACCTTGATCAACAGCTCCTTGAACTTTATGAAGAACAGAAAGGATTCAAGCTGAAAACATGTTCCTCTCTTAAATTTCTAGGACCAAGATAGATGACTTAAAATTTCCCTTCTATTAATGGACGCAGGAAGCATGACAGTTGAACCCCCAAGATGCAAATTCAATTTGAGTACTAAATATTGGAAATCGTCGTTTTAGTTGACTAAGAATCATCAAACGTAAAAGAAAGAGATGTTTATCCCTCAATTACAATGTCAATGCCATAGCTTATGCAAACAATCATCTCCTTATTTCATCGCTGGTGAACAAGATGATGGATGGCCCATTGCAATCACACATGATTTAAGGGTAACATTGTTAGTGCCATTAATTTTTATATTTAGCTTCAAAGACAAAAGAGGCCTCCTTTTTGTAGGCTGAGTACTCAATATAAAATGAAAGAAGAACCTCTTCCATGGAATTGAATGTCTGCTCTTTACATATCTGATTACTTACAGGCTCCCTTCGGTTAATGGTGGTGGTGATCATGAGAAAGCCCATTCTAAGGGAGGAACAGATTACAGATGACACTTTATTTGTCGGATCGTTAATTTCTTCAAACTGCAACTTTTTGTCCAAGATAGAAGAGACATCCTTTATACTAGCTGAATAAAAGGCGGTACATGCAATGGAAAGGGAAAGAAAGACCTATACTCCAAGTACAGTGCCTGCATCTCATTTGATTACTTATATTTTCCCTTCTTTTGATTGTGTTGGTAAGCATAACTGTGTTGTTGTTATGCTTATTTACGTACGTAAGACTTGATTCTCAAGTGTACAGTTGCTAATCATAGAATTTTGTGCGACATGGAAGTGACCCTCCAGCTGACTGAGTAAATGTAAGCCTGCAATGGAAATGGAAGAATGATGGACCTATTCACTAGATTAGGCTGTCAACTGCTTTAAATCTGATAGTTAATTTTATTTGTGAGTAGCTCATCTGTTGATTAAACAGCCATACTCAACAGCATGAAATGAGAGGTGGATTTTTTATTTAAGGGTCTATGAATCTTCTCTCATAATAATTCGTTGTTGGACTTGGATTATATGTTTCTTTTCTCTGTTCTTCTTCATCATGTGTTAATTTGATCGGTTATTGCTTTCAAATAATGAATTAAATAACCGATGGAAAATATACACATACAAGAAATGACAGCTACATTGCATAGTAAAAAAAACAGCCAAAAGTGGGCAAAACTAACCGCCTTTGCAAACTCAATTTTAAGTGGATTCCCCGCGACAACAAAACCATTAAGTGCACTCACAGCTGCAAAAGCATCTTCTTCATTTTTAAAATTAATGAAGGCATAGCTACGACCTGGTTGGAAAGAGACACTCTCAAGTTCCCCAAATTTTAAGAAGTGACGAGTTACATTTTTTTCCTCTATGCTGTGAGACAGATTCCCAACCCAAAGGTGTCTTGACGGAGGAGCATTACTTCGCCCATGATGGCTCTTCTCTTCCATTCTTGGAGGGAAATCTCTACGAATTCTGTCCCTTCCTCCTCTGCTACTCTATCAAAGGTATCACAGAAACCCGTCATGATCAAACAAACAGTGTCATTAAATTCTCAGTATCACACACAAATAAACATAATACTCTACGATTAACAGATAAATGAGGGAAGGGGTGCTTCAAACACAGGTCCCCACTGAAAAACGAATTTGGTATTCAGAACTAAAGGAAGCCTCCTCTATCTAGTCACTTTCAAGATCAAACAGAGATATGTATATGAAATTATCATTATACATGTTGTGCACATGTGTTTATACAACCAAATATTAAAAATAAATAAATAATGGGACATTGAAGCCCAAAGAAACCATTTTTATTTTGCAAATATTCAAGGCAATTAAATAACTGGCCCTATATGATTCTTTGAGACATGGAAAAGTTAAATAAAGATTTTTTAAAGTGTGTCGAGTTCAATCCAGCAATGATTCTCTATATGATTAATTATAGATTCGACGATGCCCCTAAAACCCTATCAGAAGATGAAATATGAACAGTTAACAGCATACAATTGGTAAAATTGCAAATTTGTAAAAAAAAAAAAAAAAGAAGAAGAACGAGTGAAGTGGAAAGAGAACTAACCATTGTCGTCTATAATTCAGCAGATCACCAAAATTCACACTTTTCAGAGAGAATCAAGATGAAGCTAACTATGATATATATAGAAAGATGAATGCAGAGAGCAGAATCGAAGAATCCCACAACTGGTTTCGGAAGAGAATGCTAGAAGTGGATTGGATTAGGGTTGCGAGTTTGAGGGTTTGAGCAGCGAATTCGATTTAGGGTTAGGAATCGGGGTTTCGCTTTGTGAGGCGAGTGACCCAATATACTTATTCTTCAAATTTCTCTGTTGTATTAAATTTTTATTGAATAAAAAATAATCTATATATATAAAGGAATAAGTTGTGAAAGTTCTAAACTCTCAAATTAATTTGGTTAATTTATTAATTTTTAAAGAATTAAAAAAATTTATTGGTCAGTTCTTCAAATCAAAAATCTAAAAACAAAAAAAAAATTAATTATTTATAATTTTGAATTTTAAAAATTCAAAACAATATGATAAGTCACCCTCACTCTTTTTAAAAATAATGTTAATCAAAAAAATTAAAATAAAAAAAATAAAGTCTGTAATTTTGAATTTCAAAATTCAAAATAATACGGTAAGCCACCTTCATTCTACTCTCACCTTTTCAAATCAAAAATCTAAAAACAAAAAAAAAATTAATTATTTATAATTTTGAATTTTAAAAATTCAAAACAATATGATAAGTCACCCTCACTCTTTTTAAAAATAATGTTAATCAAAAAAATTAAAATAAAAAAAATAAAGTCTATAATTTTGAATTTCAAAATTCAAAATAATATGGTAAGCCACCTTCATTCTACTCTCACCTTTTTCGAAAATAATATAAATCTAAAATTTTAAAAATTCAAATACAATTCTCTCTATAAAAATATTCAATATTTGATCCTTTTTTCAGTCCGGCCAACTCCTCTCCAAATATAATGATTCAATGGTTATTCTCTCTCTTTGCCAATAATGCAAACTTATTTCAAGTTTATTTGTTTGTGAATTTTTTATTTTTTTTTTGTAAATTTATATTTTCATGTGAGTATTTTTTTTCCAACTAAATTGATAATATATATATATATATATATCCGTTAATTATCTTTGTTTTGGGAGTTGATGTGAAGTTTTTTTTTTTTTTGGATGTTTGTGTATTTTTTATATTGTTATTATTACTTCTTTCGATATATGTGAATTGATAATATAGTTATGAGTTTTTTATTTTATTTTAAAAAAAAAGAATAAGGCGCCTTATATTGTTCTTTATGATTTGGCCATTTTTTAAATTTCTTAAACAAAATTTTCAAATCTTTTATTTGTTAAAAATTTAAAACATTTAATTGGCTTACCCATTAATAAATAAAATTTTAAATAATGAATACTATTCCATAATTTGTGGATTTAAAAAAAAAAATTAACACCCATATATGGAATAAAAAAAACCCTAAAATCACGTATTTTTTTATTTTTCATTTTTAACTCTTTAAAACTTTAACGGTACCTTTTTATTTTTACAACATTGCCTTTTTATATTTACAAAGATAAAAAAAGTAAGCTGGAATTGCATAATGATTAGTGGAGATAGTGAGTATGGCAACAACAAGGGTGATGATGAGCTCAGTCAGAGCATTGTTTGAATGGATTTTAAAAATGTGAATGTTAAAAGAATAGTAGATAGTTTGGGTGATGAATTGATTTAGAAAATTAATATGTGGTTAAGATTAAGTGTGAATTTTACCATATAAAAATTAAATATGGATCATATATTATTTTTATATATAATTTTGGATATTTTGTATAACTATAAAAAATTATTGTGATCATATGTTACTTATCATTTGATATATTATTATTGTATTATCGTAATGAATTTTATTATTAATGTCTGTTATCAATGCAGTAGTGAGACGTCACATGATAAATAAAAATATGTTTTGTTATTACTATTATTGATAATATATTTCTTTATTTACCTTTTTACAATGTTCAAAAAATTAATTTATGTTTATTGTTAATTTTTGTAGATGAGAAGTCAAAAATAAATTTTAATCAAATTCAAGTTATAACTAATTTTAGATTGAAAAGGAAATTTCAAAAGAAATTATAATTATATATAATTTAAAAATATTTTTAAAAAAATACAAGGAAAAATTGAAACTATAAATTCAAATTATTAAACAACCTAATTCTATGAAAAAATTTAAATGAAAAATTGATCAAATTTGAATTTATAATTATTAAATATTTTGAATAAGTCATTAATTTTTTATTCAGATTTTAACCTGATCTGGTCTTAAATAGTTTTTCAGATATAAATATATCTTATATTTTAAGAAGGGTAAATTATATCAATAGTCCCCGCATTTTGTCTCTTGTGTCAATTTGGTCTCTGTAATTTCAATTAATTTTGTTTTTACTCCTAATTTTAGATTTTGCATTAATTTGGTCCAATTGATAATACCAGTTAAGATTTTTAAAAGAAAATAGTTATTGAGTTGGTTGAGATTAACATATTAAGTTGAACAAGTTTATAATTTTGTATACAAAAGTATAACAGATGCTACTCATGTATGTATTTTCAATTAAAAAAAAAAAACTAGTAATTATAACAATTGGACCAAATTAAGACAAAATTATAAACTTAGGGTCAAAATTGAGCAAATTAAAATTGCAAGAACAAAAATAACACAAGAGTTAAAATATAGGGATTTCCAATATAATTTATCCTTTTAAAAATAAGTACATAATTTCTTAATTAATTTTGAAATTGTTAATAAATATACGAAACAAATATGTACATATTTCCTATTTTTGTTATATTTTTTTAAAATATATTTACTAATTAAAAATTAAATAAATAGGTAGGTTTACTAACTCATGGATTGGACATGAATCAGACAATTCTCTAAGGACTAGGCTTAAATCAAGAATTATTGGCAAAAAAAACGACTTGAACTAAATTTTCTTGGCTACTTTTTAGTATTTAATCCAATATTAGAACCCTTAAATTAGCTCATATCAGTTAGGAACTGATAAACTATGATATAATTTAAATTTATTATGACTAAAATATGACCTACAATTTAGGGTGACTTTATCTTAAATAATTTTTTTATACATAAATATATATAACTATTCATTTAAATGTTTTAAACATAAATATATAGTTTTTTTTTTTTAAACTATAGTTCAAACTTTTTAATAAGTATGCATAAAATAAGTCCATATTTCTTATTTTTATTATAAAAAAATATTTACAAATATTTATTTACTAATTTAATAAATAGATAGATCAAATGATTCATATAAGTTGGGAACAGAACAAGACAATTTTTAATGATTTGGTGAAGGACAAGTTGGCGTAAATCTAATGTTGAACCCAAATTTAATATTACAAGTGAATCTTAATTTATTTTTACATAAATCTTATAACATAAGACAAATTATAATTTTTAGATTTCACAAAACATGAAAAAATTACTATATTGACAAATGTAATTTACCACTATCATATGATAAATTAAATTTACGAAACTCATAGGACGAAATGTATTTATATTTTATCATAAATATAATTTTTGTGATTTATTTTTTAATTTTTACCACTTAAATTATTGCATATATTTGTGATATAAGAATTAATGATATAAGAATAAAAAAAATTCTCTTATATGTAACTATGATAAAAATGAATAAAATTTAATTAATTCTAAATAATTTTTACTAAATATTGTAGATAAAATTTTTAGATTATTATTTAATTGTAAAAATTAATTTTTGATTATTTATTTATACCCGTGCATAACATAGGTGATTATGCTAGTTAAGAAAGTTTATTTTCAAGAAGAATTGGGTTGGAGCATTCTAACAAATCCTAATTTACATATTAATTTCAGAAGAAAAAAAGAAAAAAAAAATGAGTCTTCAAGTTTTTCAATTTTAATTTTTTAATGTATTTTTAATCTATGTCATTGGCATATTTTCATTAAGTAAAATTATTGAAAAAGTTGTTATATTTTAGTTACTGAACTTAATGAAAATTAGTATTTGAAAAAAAAAAATTGCACAATTTATTAGAAAATTCTTTTTCAAGTACTTGTATCATAATTAATCTATAAGATATCCTTATTTCAATAAGTCCTGTTATTTTAGATATTGGATCCACCAAATCTTAATTCTCATATTTAATGAATTTTATGAACAATTTATCCGTATAAATATTTGTTGAACTCTTAACAACTTAGTATGCACTATTTTAGACTATTTTAAATATTTCATGATGTAAACATTCACATTAATTAAATTTAATAGTGTGAGTGTTCACATTGATAATGTGAATATTTTTTTTTATTAGCAAAAACCTTTATTGATGAAATCGACATACATAACTATGGTTTTACGTCAATAAATGAGAGAGGAGCACAGAAAGCATCACAGTAACACAGCATGATCCCAATTAGATTGGTACCCAGATTGATAATATGAATATTCACACTATTAATATGAATATTCATATCATGAAACATTCGCATTGTTAATGTGAATATTAATTTGCGCTTATTATTATGGATATTTTGGTAACTATGTCATCCATAAGACTTATTGAAATATAAGAAAATAATTTGAATTAAATAGAACATAAGTAGGTGAATATGAATTTATGAATAAATGCCCCTTAGTTTAGTAACTAAAATATATCTTTTTCTTATAGTTTTATCTAACAAAAATAAACAGCTAATTTAAATTAAAAATAAATCAAAATATTAGAGTTAAATTCATAAAATTAAAAATTCAGGATTTATTTTGTTACATAACTCAAATTCTAGAGTTTGTTTTCTTTCGTAATTTTTCAAAAAAAAAAAAATCGATATTTATATTTTCTAGAGACAAACTATTGTTTAAAGTTTTGAATTTTGTTATTTTAAAATTTAATACTCACGATGTGTAAATACAATTTTTGCATTAGCACTCGGAAAAAAAATGCAAGAAATGCTTGGATGTTAATGGATCTAAAATCTAATGACTTGTAGCTTTTTATTTGTGCCGGTGGTTGTGCAGATACCATTTGGGGATCATATTTTTTTAGGCAAAAAATTAAAAACTCACTACAAATTATCATATCACTTTCTTTACTTTTTTTATATATTGTTTTTTTATAAAAAAAAATCAAAAAAAAAAACCAACTAAAATATGAGAATAGACAATTCTCAAACTAGGTGTGTTATGAAATCTATACAATTGGCAGATTCTTCAAAAAGAAAAATAAACAAATAAAATAATTAA